GATTTAAGAATGAAATAATTTGTTTAATTATTAAGACATGAAGATTTTCTTATACGAATTCGGCGTACAGAATTAGTGTTTAAGTAAAATGTAAATAAAATCTTTCGACATCTTTGTCAAATGAGAACCATGAAAAGATCAATATATTCATTGACTCGCATTTGCGTTAAATTAATTTAATCTTTTGACAAAGATTCATTTTTGAAAACATTAAATATCGTGTTGTGTTTCATAGCATAAATATTAGACTGTAATGATCTATTCTTCTATGGAACAAGATTTCTCTGTTGATTTATAAATTTATTAAAATGTATACTACAGAATATTTGATTTTTCATCGTTACATGTATTGACTATTGAGGTTGAACTCTTAATGCTTTTTTTAGATATTTATGTTGAAATTGCTATATATTATATAAGAAGCATAGTCTATTAGTCAATCCTTTTGGAAAAAAAAGCACAACTGTCTATAGCCTTTAAACAATTCTAATCGTTCTAATTGACAAGAGAACTTGAAAATTGTTTTTTTTTTCTCATCTTATAGGTTCAAGTAGTATAGTATTTTATTTGATTGATACTCGTCTTCATTATTTTGCATGCCTCATTATTTGAAATAGGCTCGAACAAGAAGTCAAGTATCCAACATCTTGAGAGGAAATTTTATTTGTTTTTTTCTAAAATCATCTTGAGTTTTGCGCAGATGCAACAGTCTATAAATAGCTATTTTTTCATTAACGTAGGTATAAGTGATCATAAGTTCTATTCTTCATAATTGTCTCTATAAACAAAATAAAATAAGAAAACTATTAATAGCAATATTCATGTTTCTTTGTGACCAAATTAATAGGCAAGCTACTTCCTTTTCTGTCTACCGTTCAATGACAAAATTAACATGACTATAATGAATAAGTTAGTTCATCAATGAAAGCACGACCATAAATTCATTGTAACAATAGGCATCTTTTTTGATTTTTTTTTCCATTAATATTCAATACACATGTCAGATTACATGAGAAAAGATCTATTTGTCATTGTATAAATAAAAAAGGTGGCGGCATAATAATGATAGATTCTTTGAGATAGTTTTGAGAGTATGTGAGTCATCGAGTATAATATTTGATTCTTAAATACTTTTTCAGGGTAATTTTCTGCATCCTAAGGTAACGAATTAAAGGTTTAGATAAATTCTAATTATCTGCTTTAGTTTCGGTTTTCTTTTCTTTTCTTTTCTGTATCGTCTCTACTTAAGTTTTAACGTCCTCCATTATTCCATTCTGTTTCAACTCATAGTTAAGGTGAAAATCTGAAAGACCTTCATGTCCTTAAGCTTTTTCTACTTGAGTTATAAACATTGTATCGACCTTTTCGCACATTGTCAGACATGTCCAAAGAGATTGCATTAATGAGTTTCCGTCTAAAATTTTTCTCAATAGCAGATATGATGGTACTGATTATATTCTGAAAGTTTCATCTCATATGGATGTTTCTCACTCAAAATAACATGGTTCCAAAAAACACGACTATTTCATTAAAAAAAAACTTCCAAAAAGACGCCATTCTTAGATATTTTGTATTTTCAAAAAAACTTATCTATATAAGCTGAATCTTTTAGGGTACAACAGCTACTATGTGATCTATTCTTCGAGAAGATTTCAGAGAGAAATCCATTATTGCAATTTTCTCTCGTAATATAGTACAATATACTGAAAATTGACTAATACAGCTATAACTTAATAGAAAAGACCTAAGGATACGAGAGCTTTTATCTTTAACTATAAATTTTACTTCTGAACGAACTAAGAGCGCAAACAGAGAGTATTAGTTAGAGTGGTTGCATTGTTAGTACTACATTATTAATAATGAAGTTGTTGATCGATTCGTCAAAACAATTCATATACTATTAATAATAAATAAATTTGAAGAGTTCAATCAATATAGATACTATTGTAATTAGTTTTGCATTGCTGCTTTTTGTTATTTAGTCAATCGATCTTATATGAAATAATAAAATTCATATATTTATCAGTTGAATGAAAAAGCATAGAATGAATGATGATTTGTGACAGCTGTAAATAATAAGAGAGTGGAGCAACACAAGACGAAACATAAGACATAGATGGCAAAGACGTTAAATAAAAGCTGGAATAAATAGAAGGAAAACCATAATTATTTTTGGAGAACATGAGGGTTACGGCGCGTAATTATGATTTATTACCATAAAAGAAAAAATTCCGTTCGACAGATGTAGAATGACTGTTAAACATTTTAGTATAAATCGTTTACAATTTACCAGTGCATACAAGAACAACTAATATAATGCTAGTATTATAAATATGAATTCTGTAATATTTTTTTCCCGATGTTTGACATGATTTTTTTGTAAGACGTCTTGACTTTTCATCAAATATTGTTTTTCACTTCATCCTTATTGATAAAATTTGATTGGACTCAAATTACAAACTAGTTTAACACTAAAAACTTGAGACAGTTGCTATTTGAGAATACAAGATAACTAACTATGTAAATTATTTTACAGTCCTTAATTGTAACATAAATCAAATTTCATAACTAAAGTAGTTTACAGTTGGCACACATATTATTTTGTTGCTTGCACCCTTGACGAAACATTTTAATCGATAGAACTTCCTCGAATCGATCCAATCTCTTATCTATTCTGATTGTCTATTAGTTTCGTATTGTTCCTTGTATATAGTTGATTAAGCTTCCTCTTTCTATTCTAGAAATTCTACTGATTATATATATATTTGAATATATATATATATATTATAAGATTTTTCAATCATCACGCCATATCAACATTTCCAAGTTATGGAGAACGTCGAACGATTTAATCAGTCTATTACTAATCATCGAACATATGATGCATCAATATTCAGGTATGTACTATTTCTTTTTTTTTCTTAACTATCAGTGAACAACTACATTTAATTATATAAGACAAAAACGGAATAAGGATTATAGAAAATTGTTTTCTATGATAAATGAAATACGCAAATTATTTGCATAATAATTGATTTATGTTTGCTATAAAAAAAGTTTCTTTGTTTTGCTGTAGTTGTCATAAGACTAATTTTGAATAATGAGATCATGAGAGAACACATACATGAAAATAAAATATTGCTTTTATGAAATCATTACCTATAAAACAAAACATATGAGAAAAAAATCTATCAACATAATAAAATATATGTAGTTTTTAGACAACTATAGACGCATTGATAAATATCGCTATTGAAACGATTAAGATTGATTAGTTTGATGTCAAGCAATATACTAAATCATTATTTTCTATTTTGCATCATTTATGTTAAATAACTGAATATTAAGAAAAGTAGTTCATATTGTATTCTATGCAACAGGATAGATAAAATTAATTGGTTTATTTACTCTTTAACTTGATGGAAAAAAAAAACCGCAAATTAAATTTAGCATTATACAAAATATGGAATATAAATTTATAAATTTTTGTGTGTAAAATATGAAAATATAAGTTATTACATTTGAAGTTGCTCATAAAACGATTGAGTGTATCTATCTACTACGATTAAAATTTGATTTTCTCTGTTGAATTACAATGATTTATCAACGAGAAAGAATGGCTATTTATCGGATAAAGTTATTATCTTAGGAATTCCTATTCATGCCATTAAGAAGATCCAGATAATGATTGATGAAAAAAATATATGGTTTCTGTTTGGCATTAAATGGTATAAGTTGTCCCTATTATAATCATTGTTGCAAAAATAAATGCTAAAATAATTCATATTTTTAGTAATAGAGAAAAGATAAATATTTCTTTTCTTTCTTATTCTTTCTTATTCCGCATACGAATATAGTTCCATATAGTTTCTTCATTTATAGATAGAACGAGTTAGAAAAAGAACAGAATCTTCTGTTTTTTTCTTTTCTTATTTTTATTATCTGAATTGCTACTCATTTTTCAACATTCATATTAACTGAACCTAATGAATAGATGCAGCTATTTGTATGATAATATAATGTACTACTTATTTTTCGTGAAAGATCTATTCTTATGATTCTATATAATTATTATAGTCGAAGAACATACACAAAAGAAAAAAAAAGAGAGAAAAAAAATATATATGAAAAATGTCACAAGAAGATGTTTTTTCTTGATTACACAAGTATTGATCTGTTCATATTTTCATGTGAGTGCTATGTTTATAAATATTCATGTTTTATTCCTTTGTAGGAGAATAAATATGCGTAAAAAAAAAAGAAATACCACTAATTATATATTAAAAGGAATTTACGAGTAATATTTTACGCTTGGCTAAGCTATACTAAGCACAAGAATATAGTTAGGAATATACGCTAGTGTACCATACATAGCTGCCATTCACACTGTAGATTTTGTGATATTTAATTTAGATAAGAATAATTAGAAAAAAAAAGCCGACTCATCAAGTAATTGTAGCAGAGTAATCGATAATGATAATGGCTTTCAAAAATATATAAAGAGTCTTACACCAATACTGTCGAAAAAAAGATTTCTGTGACAGAAACAGTAGCTTGATAATTCCATTCATTAGCAAGAACAGTCAAAGCCGAGTTAATGACATGCATATCGACAATATAATATTTCTATTTTTGTTTATACTTGTCTTTCGGGTCAAGTAGGGTATTGATAACTGCAATAATTAAGCAGCAATGACATGCCCAGTATAACATGTAAACAAAATACATATTTCGTACTTAAAAGAAATACAAACAAAAACATAGTGTCAATAATCTTAATCAAACTATTTGCTTAAGTCTATTAGTTTTTATTTTCCTTTATATGAATATTTCATGTATACATTTATACCTGTCTCTATTGTTATTATAAACAAAAATGTTTGACACAAAACTAAAAAAAATAGAAAAAAGAAAAACATTTCATATATTTTTGGCTTTTCTTTTGTCATTATTACATTTGTTACTCAAGAATACATTCATGGATATTTTCATGTAGATCAATGAATTCCACAAATAACGAAACATCATTACCAATAATTAATTGTTCATTACAAGGTCGTGTATATGAATCTACTTATTTATTTTTTAAATCATTAAATTCAACATATTTACGTTTACTTATTGGACCAGGTATATTACTTAATTTACTTTGTCTATTTATACTTTCTCGACCAAGGTTATCAAATAAATCGACTACTATTATATTTTTACGTTTTCTTGCACTTTTTGATATATTATCAATTACACTTAAATATATTCGAGCAGAAATGAATTATCAATCACTTGAAAAAGGTCATGAAATATTTTTATTAACTCCATCAGTTTGTAAAGCATTATATGTATCAATGAATGCATGCATTTCAATTGCTATGTGGACTATTGTTTTAATGAGCTTGTAAGCTTTTCTTTTGTTTTCATACGAAAATAACGGTACATAACATTAAATTTTTTTTCTTTTATAGAGATAAAGCTGTTGCTGTTAGTTATCCACTTAAATCAAGTATATGGTTAACTCATAAGCGAGCATTTCAGATTTGTTGTTGTACTATTATCATACTTTCACTTGCCAATTTATCGTTCATCAGCTTATCGAATATACATATGGGAAAAAATAATCGAAAATACTGTGGATTAAGCGATGTTTCTTTTAGCGTCGATCTGATTACTGCTTCAATTTTGCCTATGGGTAAATATATTTATCTATGATATCTTTGTTGATTTCATCAACATATTACGTATAAATATAGAATGTGTAGAAAGCAATAACAAATGCAGCATAATTCTTCTCTGTAGATGTTTCCTATTCAATTATCAATATGAAACAATAGAATTTATTTTCATTTTTTATGATACGTTCAAGCACGTAGTCGGAAAAAGGAGTATTTTTTCTTGATCAGTGGACTCATCCGGAAGAGAGAGTCAGACGTTATTATAGAAAATATAGGTTGCAGCTTCTTAGTCAGACACAAATTATTACATCTCTCGAGAATTTGAATAGAACAAAAACTAGAGATAATTTCACATGACAATGTAATAGGAAGCGCAATTCAGAATATGAAGACATGAGCATTATTTGATGAAACTAGACAATTGAACATTATTATTCGGAGCACTGAACAATAATAGTGATGACGATTTCATGAGAAAAGTCAATGATATCAGTTTCGAGAGTCCTCTAACTGAGAGGATTTTCCGTTTTTGAAATGTTCTTTTATTTTTCTATTATCAGGATATATTAGAAGAAACCTGCTTCAGAAACAAAATTTTTCATTGTTTTTTTTTCGGCATTAATACGACTACTAGTGCCATATTCTAAAATATTTTCTATAGTTACACAGTATTTATTAGACAAATAATTTCATGATTTTTAAATAAGAAAGGAATTAAAACAATAAACAGATTATTCATCGTACTTATTCAAAAGTACTTATCAGCATGCTTGAAATCGTTTCCTAAATTAAATATAAAATGATTGTTATTCAACCAAATTAGTTTCGATGAAAATTTTCTATTTTTAAATAGAGATTTCTAGATGAGACATTTTTAATCTTTATAACGAGCATCATGTTTTATAAGCTGCAAAGAAATAATAATATTTTTGAAAAAAGAACTTATTTTTTATTAGAGAAATCATCTTAGCTAAAGTTAATATTGTCTCTTAGGACCACTATGAGTATAATTATGAATCGTTAACATTGAAGATTGACAACTGTCATATTACGATGCATCGATATTCCCACGTACACATCATAAACTTCATTATCTATTAGACAAACAACTTCAAGTTATAAACATAATTAATTAAATCTTTATGGTTGATAGCCATTAGAATTTTATTAAAACTTTTCAAAACTTTTTACTAAATAAATCTTCATTAATAAATAAAGTATATATTTCTGATCATAATTATATGATTAATTATTAAAGAAATACATTTTTTTCGTCTTTTTTTTGAGAAGATATATTAACAGTAACTTTTTTTGCTAATCAATAGTCAAATGGAATTTTTTTAATTTATGCTTTATTTTCTTCTGGAATAGTTATTAGACATTCCAATAGATTAGATATGCAAGAAAACACCCAAGCCATATAATATGACAGATGAATTATTCAACAAATGAAATATTACCAAACGTTAGACAGATACGTTATTTAAGTTATTTTTGTTGTTTGACACAATTGAGAAATTATATTTTTTCAAGACAAATCTTCATATTTTTGAAACATTAATGTCATGATCTCATTCATGTTTAGGTCTTATTACAGCTGCTAATATTGTTATTGCAGTTGTATTACATCGTACTTCTTATGATTGGAGAATATCTAATGAATCTACTAAACGAGAATCTGATTCAAGTTTGTGTAAAAGTAATAAATCAAAATTATCACTTCGTCAACGTTGTTCCGGTAGTTCAACAACTACAGCAGCCGAATTAGTATTAGCTACAAAACGACGTACAAATGCACAAGTTACACGTATGCTTTTAGCTGTTACATTATCATTAATTCTATTTAATATTCCTAATACAATATTTTTTGTTGCTGTTAAAATTTATGATACAAGACAATTATTACTTGGACGTTCATGTGTAGATATTAGTGATGGTGATATAGTATTATATAAACTTGGATTTTATTCAAGCGTTATACAAGATATATTGTCGGATCTACCTCATGTAGTTAATTTTTTCTTATATTGTTTAGCTGGAAAAAAATTTCGAAGCATATTTATAAATGAATTTCATCAATTACTTGTTGATTTGCATTTAATGAAACCAAAAGAAAGACGTCTTACACATGGAACATCTATTATAAATCCTGAATTAATATCAAGCATAGCTTATTGTAATAATGTAGAACGTGTATCACCAAAACCTGCTCCATCAAAAGTACGACAAAGTGTTGAAGTTTTATTTAATGGTAAAAAAGCTCTAACAATACTTAATCGTCAAAATGAAAATTTATCAAAAAAAAAGATTAATAGATCTAAAGGCAATCAAAAATGTTTTCGTTCTAATACGAGTAAACAATAAAATTATGAAAATGTTGTTTAATTTTTATATGTTGTAATTATATTTTCGTTTTAATTCTCTATTAAAGTTTAATAAATGTGTAATACGATCGAAATTTGCTATTTATCTTATCAAATCATTTTGTCATAAAAGAAAACACTGCAAAATAGATTTCGATTGCATTTTCGATGATTAAATTGAAGATCAATAGATTTGTTTGTCTTTGGATTTACTTTAGAAGAATTTACGTATTTTTAACATGAAAATATTCTATTTGACGATATGATATCTTCTTTTATGTTTTATTACCGATTCTTTATATTCATGATCTGCAAGTACTTATGTAGGTAAAGGAGTAGTATAGATAATATGTTTATGGTTCTTTTTTAACAGATGCTACAAACTACAAGTATATGTAATTTAGTTGATTATATATGATAAAATGATTGCAACAACACTGTCTACAAATGTACTTGAACAGTTTTTATCTTCATATAAAGAAATTAGGCGTAAGTCGTTGATAATTTGTTCTTTGAAAACATTTTCAAAAATTTTGATTCCTAAATTTCTTTTTTTCTTTGTAATATTCAAAAGTCATCATATCTATTTTTCGAAGGTTTTAATGACAATAACAATGAAATGGATTCAATTCTTGTTTATATTGGTCTGATTATAGTTATCCTATTTTTCCTCTTGATAATATTAACCTTGATTGCTAAATGTATAAAAATGCTCGATAATGAAACAATAACAACAAATAAGAAAAGTATAGTTGAAAAGAAAAAGAACTTTGTTTTCTAATGAATTCATTCTCATGTTTTTCTCAGAACAACGCTGCCAGCGGCAGTATCGAACAACGTCTTTGCGAAGTAAACAAGAATTCTTGTCATCGGTTTCGTCTTCATCATTGTTGACCTATTATCATATAAATAAATCATTCGAAAAGCCTTCACGTTTATCTAATAATCAAAAACTTCAATATCAAAAACAAAATCTATTGCCTCTTTTAAACGTATAAAAAATATTTTATTTTATTTTTTGTAAGAAGTAATTATTTTGCAGAAAAAGCTTCTACAGTTTTATGACTGTGCAATAAAACAATAAAAAAAAATCTACAAATTTCACTTAAGTAATCATAATCTTTATTTGCTATTCTATAGCCTTAGAAAATAAGCATATTCTCTAGTGATATAACAAGAAAAAACTTGTAGAAGAGAACTTAGTCTTCTGACCGTGTCTGCAGATGAAGTTGCAACTCTTTCATAATGTCTCTAGAGGAGTCGTAAGAGTCTTTTTAGACGGAAGTTAACAATTTCTAGGGATTATCATATACAATTTGCCATTGATCGAAAAGTAACAATTAGAAAATCATTAGAAAATTGTTTTTTTTTCTATAAAGTCACAAATCCTGTATACGTCACTTTTATTGCTTGTCAACATATATTATTAAGCGATTATTATCAACTAATTACCACATCTTACATTAGAAATTTTTCTATCCTAATAGAAAAAATGTTGTAAAATAAGACATGTCATATTTTATTTAATAATATATCAATAGAAGCTGCTTTTCAAAATTATGTAATTCAATGACTTTCAATCCTTGTTACAGTCTACTGTTTCACATTATCAATAGGATCTTTTTGTTTTTATTTTCATTCGATATTAATTAAAGTAATTGGAAAGTGAAAAAAGGAGGATAATATAAATCCTGTACGTCTATATTTTAGCTAAGATTAAATTATAATGTTGTCAAATGGAATTTAATTTAAATTTAGTTTTTTTTTTTCTTCTTTGACATCAATTATGAAATTTCTATTTCTATTAAGTGTAATTAAGAGCAAATGCAAGATTTTTATATAAGATAGATAGTGAACTTTTAATTAAAGATGCAGTTTATACTTGATTTTGATATTAGATCAAAGATTAAATTTTATTAGATTTCTTTGACATCATTATGTATGTTTTTGTCATTGTGCCTTTTGAAACATACTGTAATGTTATATTTCTTCTTAATATTAAAAACTTAGATAGTATGTTTTTATGTAGATAATCGTCATATGTATTTATTTAAATCAGCCTATGTCAAAATTGTCCACAGAACTGGCTGACGTCTTTCTACCTTGGGAAAGAATCATCAAAACCTCAAAAAAAAACATTCAAGAACGAAACGAAAGAAATATTTTCACACAATTCGAACATGATTTAAGAAAGGCAATGATCATGATCGATATCTATTGTTCGAATTCGATAAGAATAATCAAAAGAAAAGAAACTTATATCGAAATAAATTTACATTTCTTTTGAAATATACTCAATCTAGTTCACCTAATGCTGCAATAACAATTAACACAGAAATAGAATTTACTATTCTTGAGTCGATTTTAAATTAAACAAGAGTAAATCTGCATTCAGATAAATTAGAGAACATTTTATTAATATGATCACTATAAAAATATATTAACAAAGTAAACTATGTCTTTTTTTTGCTTGATTTGTTTCTTAGTCATGGTTGTTATCTTAATTTTTGTCGTCCTTTTATTTGAATATTTTTTTCAAATTGAATTCTATAGTAAAACTTATCAATGTAAGTTATATACATGATTTCATTCATGTCTTCTGTTGATATTTTTAGGTCGATTATTCCGACCGTCCGAAACGACATCTTGAACTGCCTAAAACGGTGAAAAAAACGGCATGATTACAGTTCTAAACGATAAAAAACGATCGCCGCTTTTTTAACCATTTTCCTCGGAACGTAAACGACGCCATTTCCGGCGAGTAACGATGTGTAGGTTTATGGCAGTATTCTCGTCTTAAAGTGTCTTATTTACGCTGAGTTTTTTCGTTTACGACTTTTTTATCATTTGTCGTCTGTCCTTAGTGAAGAGGAGCGGAATATTTCGTCTCTTCCTCATCTTCCGTAAAAATAAGAAAAAAAATATATTTATTGCAATTAAATACTTACTATTGAACGTATCAATGAGATAAATCTCAATAAAAACCCTAAATTTATTTAAATAAAAGACTTACTGCTAAATATTTTCTTGACATAAATCCAAATTAAAAAAAAATAAATATATTTTTTCAAATACAATAGTTACTAGTGAACTAGATGGGAAAAGAGAATCTGATAAAAAATATTTTCTTTTAACTAGGAAATGGCCAATCGATTATAAATCATTAGAAAGTGTCTTCATGATGATTTTAAGATACTTTTAAAGTAATGGAAAACGATGTAAAAACGATGGTCATAATGACAACGTTTTCGCTATTACGTAAACGATCGCCGAATTTCTCCGCTTTAAGGCAGATTGCTAACAACTATCGTAACGAAAACCGTTTTTCAGTGTTTGCAAGTCATTTAAGGTAGTTTACGAGCCGTGATATACGACATCGGCTCGTGCATTTTATCAGTTGAACTATGAGTTTGTATTAGTATAAAACGGGCTTAAGTAAACCAGTATTTTATTACTTAGTACGGAGACGTTTTTACTTTTGAATTCAATTGGGAATTACAGCCAAGATAGTGTGTCAATGCAACAGAATACTCTACCCTACTCCAGCAAACAGAGCAGGGCACGGTACGGAAAAATCAACCAGTAGACATCTCTGGTCTACGCGTTTTTTTTCAGAAATGGGCAAGTTAACTATTTTTCAAGTTACAAGTCAAGTCTGACTTGACCAGCTATGACTCTTTTCAATCAATTAAGTCATCAGACAATCAGTGACTTAAAATAAACATTCTCTTTTTCTTTCATATGCTATTGTCCATATAAAATACAATTTGAATTCTAAATTCTTAACATAAGTCTGCTATGCATTACAAACAATTTAACATGGAAGACTAATGGCTTGAATGATACAAGAGAATTATTACTCTGGGTTCTTTTGCGATTTTAATCGCCCCAGTCGAGCGTTACGACCATCGTACACGATCGTATTTCGCCGTATTATTTACCGGCCTACGCCGTCCTTTGCTTGATGAAAACTACTAACTAATCGGATTTTTTTCTTCGACAATTTAATGGTGCATGCAAATGAATTTTTAGAAAAAATCTTTTACATATATTATTATTGATTGGTTCCATGGTACAATTGAATGAATTCGAAGACGGAGTTTTTTTCTTATGATGTATTTTAATCGAACGCTTCCACCATATCAATAAAGCTTTCGACGAAAATACATCTAAGACAAAAAAATTTCATGTTCAAATTCATCTTCTCATAACACGAAACTAATCAATACTAATATGTGTAAAAAGACTTCTTCTACAATTTTCTTTCAATTAATCATTAATTTTTCAATAGAAATCGTCCTAAAAAGAAAAATACAATTCTAAAAATTTCTTTCGACTTACCTAAAGAGTGTTCCATTTAAAAATATCTAATCAAAAACAGTTAAGGTCGACCAACAATTCTGGCTACGGCGTTTAAAGGAGCTTGTCAATAGGGTGATCTATTCAGAAACGAAAAATCATATACATTATGTTGTAAAGCTTTTGAGGCGCGTCGAATGGTATACAGTAAATCCTATTTTTCATAAGACTTTGAAGAAACTAAAATCAATTTACTGATAGATTACTGCACACTCATTCACATCCTCACTCACAAGATGGCCGAAGATGCTACGCATATGAGCTTGTAGCTCGTTAAAAATTCTACAAGATTGTATGTGAGAAAAAATATTTTACAAAATACTTTCGCCTAATACCAAGGACCACGATATTCAGTAACTTATCATGCTCTGTTGTGACCGTAGGCGTGAATGTGTAGTTGTCTATCAGTAAACTGACTTTAGTTCGTTCCAAGTCTTATGAAAACAGATTTAATATATACCATTGGACGCGCCTCAAAAAACTCTACAACATAGTATATTTGGTTTTTCGTTTCTGAATGCATCATCTTTTTTGCTATAGAAGAAAAAAGTGATTTTTCGAATATTAATTGATTTATTGAAAATAATTTTTCAATAGAAACATTTCTAAAGGAGAAAATCTTTCAAACGTCCGTTCGATCTC